CTCAAGTCAAAGGAATAATTTTAGTATTTTATTAAAATTATTTTTTAAGGAAAATTGATGCAACTGATCCCAAAACTTTGTCTATATTGCATAATTAGTTCATACATTTCAAAAGCAGTGCAAATCATCCAAACCTTTCCATTTTTACCCAAATTGTCACTTTTGGATGGATTCCGTTGTTGAAGAATTGAATATTCTGATATATAATTTAACATATTTTTAACTAATTGCTAAATATCTCTCTTCTTCCCTTTTTTTTAATCTTTCACTCATGGGTTTTTGATGAATTCTTGGATAAAAAAACAGGGTTAACTCAAATCCAGTTAGGTTCATTTCAAGCACAATGATCGAGGGTGACTTTTGAAGCAAAGAAGTGCCTTGAGAAATGGGAAAAATGGCCAAAAATTTGTCCACTTCGAACACGAAAATCGAGCCATAAGTCAAATTAAAAATAATGTTATCCAACTTGAGTACTTTTTGTCATCAGTCCCCGGGACTTTACCTGTAAGTTCTAATAGTTCAATGAAATTGAGATGAATTTTAGTTTATGGACAATTAAAAGCCCTATTGTCACCTAATTAGGATGGTGCAAAGCACAGTTGATACCAAGCCTCTGTTTGGTGCCGTTAAATTTTTTAATTAAAATTAAATTCAAAATTAATAATTAATTTTAACAACACATTTTATAAAATCAACAACTTTTCAATAATATATTCTATTAACTTTTATCAAAATTTACTAAAAATCTCATTTTAGTTTCTACCAAATCGAGGCTAAATAGCTTTACTCAAAAGGTTGCGGATGCACCATCAATATTGAACCGGTTCAATGTTTAATGCACAGTACTAAATTAGATTACTACTAAGTTTTCTTTTTTTAATACATTTGATCGAGTCCAGTATGTACAATCCAACTTAACAAACCAACCAAAATCATACTAGACAGACGAACAAAATGCAGAACAAGTCTGGTTTAAGGAAGGTGATTTACATATACAACAAAACCCTTTTGCTGAACTTAGCAGCTATGGGACTCGTACACCCAAACACATGAACTAGACACGAGGATTTTAACTAAAAACATTTACACACAAAAACAACCACCTTAATTACAAGATCTCAAGGCAAATTTGTGGTTTCTTCACCTCTGTGTCTATCTGCAAACCGATTAACCAAAGCAAGTGCATTACTAGTAACTTGTGCAACATTTAGTACCCTTTTCCTTATTGCAGCCTTTGCATTTCCATTCATGGCTGGCCCCGAAAATCCGTCGAGGCAAGTGTTCTCGTTCGTTAGAGCGGCGCTAACCCATGTTTGCACATTACTAACATGCCACGCAAAATCCTGGCCCGTGAAACGGCGCCGCATCCGCCCTAGTTCCTTAATTGAACGGTTTAGTTGATAGACCGTGTCTCCCATAATTTCTATGCAATCTTTGGTTGCTTGATATCCCCTCTGTTTTCTGCCCCGCCTCTTAGCCAACTTGGAAATGAAATTCGAGGCGGATCGAGCTCGTGATAGGCTTACAGCCAAGGCAACTTGTGCTAGTTGGAGCTCGCTTTGTCGGATTGTACTTGCGTAAGTTGAGAGGCACTGGATGCACAAGGCGGGGTACAGAGTGGCTCTGCATGAGGTCTTGATGAAGTTTGTGGGATCAGAGTTTGCTATGACAAGCATGTAATGGGAAGATAAGAGAAGAAGAAAATAAATGCTGAGTTTTGCCATGTTTTGCGCTTTGTTATGAGAGTGTTTTTAAGTTTCTAGTTAAGTGAATATGAGCTAGGGAGCGTTATATAGACCCGAAATTACTTTTTTTCACTGAAAAAACTTATTTCCTTGATAGTACTTTCTAGAACACTAACTGGCACAAACCATTTGTGAGACAAACCTTTTAGCTGACCTGTTAGTTATGGGAAACTGATGGCCCGAATAAGCTTGAGCACATTAATATTTCCTTAATAAAAGGGAATTTGAATTGTTTGGAGATTTCGTTATCAATATGAGAGTATAGTAAGATTTTCATTAAAGAGTCAAGAACCCAATAGGAAAGGGTTAAGCCAAAGGGTAGGGCCGAAAATATGTGAACGATCCAAAGAAACACGGCCACTTCCCCTACAAACTATTAAGAAATGAGATTCTTGCCAACTCTCTTTCATCTTCACGTGCAATCAAATATATTACTTATTAAAAGTTTGACATGTTCACACTTTCTTTTAAATGAATGCGACGAGACTGAACATATATTCATTGTCGACTTTGGTACTCTATCAAATCATATCATCTAAAAATTTAAACTATTTAAGATGTGACGATTATTTATTAAAATGTTAACAAGCAATTATTTTGAAGGAAAAAATTGAGTCAAAAATAAAATATTAACCTTCTTCAAAAGTAGTCACATGGCTTCTTTAATTTGTCTCTCCCTTTTCTTTAATTATTAATCGTAGCATATCTTCCGTCTTTTATGTTCTATATATATATACTTGTAGCAACTTGCAACGCAACATTAAAGATTCGGCTTATCCTCATCAGCATTTAGATAGAGATGTACAACTTTGAGTTAACGTGATTAATGCCTAACCTTTAATTATGCAAGCACTTAGCCTATGATTTTTGACTAGGAATTAAAGTTAGGAGTTAGGCCGACCAAAAGATTGCTTAATAAGAGAATCATATTGACTACGTCTAGATAAAATATCGGTGATACTCAATAAAATCAACGTCACTTAGACTAATGCTAAATAACATTGCTATATGACTAATGTATACCTTGTTTATAGTGAAGAATTGAACTTTTAACATATTCACGTTTTACAGTAAATTTAACAAAATACTAATTTCTTGCGTTCAAGATTAGCCTTTAATTTAAACAAACATGTAATTATTGCAACATAGATCTTGTCTAAGAAGACACAATTTAAATAATATACTTGTGTGACTTCTTAATCTTAATCTCTCTTTCTTTATTATAGCTCAATTAAGTGACCAAGTAGCCTTAAAAATTTCACAGGTCAAACAAGCACTTATTTTTTGTGCAGAGGATAAACTTTTCCAAACGGATAACTACCAATGGAAATTATCTCCTGCCATTGCTTTTCCTGCTCTTTCTACAATAATTTTTTTCAAGTGTACTACTATTTAACTTGGCCACAATATGTCCATTAAAATTTAGACATGATTGGTCCACTTTGATTTTCAGACCAATGAAATCTAGTTCCACATCTTTATTCAATTGATGAGTAATGTTCCACTTTTAATTTGAACGCGTATTACATCCAGTACTAAATAAGACTGCATATAGTGTAATAAACGATATTTTAACTTCTCTAATTTTTCTTTATGGTGTCGAGCACTTTATGCAGTCCACCTCAATAAAATCGTTATAAGATTAGCTTTAAACAACGGGTACACAAATTCTTCCAATTTCAGATGCTAATTGACGTTAAGGATGCAAATTTTTGGAGAGCTAAATTTGCAGCGTGTCGTAAGTGCTACTCGTATATGTAGTACTATACAATACTCGACTCGAATTGTTATTCACAATACATCAAGAACTTAACTGATATGACGGCAAAGCAACCGGTAACACCTCAAAATGAAAATCAAAATATCAAACATTAAACATGGGAATATAACATGAAATTTCAGAGACACTTCATTAGATTGGTTAATTATAGCTCTTGAATTTTTATTATAAGAAACCCGTAAAACATTGGTAGTGAATTTCATTTCATGGAGTGAATTTGCTGTCTTCCATAGTATTCAAATTGTTGGGAAGAAGTGAACAAGGCTTGTGGAGATGCAAATATTCAATCGAAGGACAAAGTAAATATTTGAAGAAGCCAAGTATGACAATAATTTATTGGAGTATATTTCTTAGAAGGATGTTTGACTTGATGTTCATTCAAATGATCCCACAAATAATAACAAATCTAGTTGAATTGTTCGTAGCAAATGATCCTACAATTTCATTCGAAGAAATTTGTAGCAAGATTTTTAGTAACAAATCTAGTTCTGCTTCCCTATTACTTTTGAATTGTTTTGAATGCCTTGTTGTATGCATACTCTGAATGGACTTATGATAATATTTTATTCAAATGATGAATGGGAGTATTTTAAAAATAGTAAAGGAACAATGCTATCATTCGACTTCAACACTACATTGAAAGTTTGTCGAATCAAGAAAAGTCAGTAAACATCTATATTATGAACGCTTTATTTTGTCTCCACTTATGAAAGTTCAAGTCCAATACAACACCCATTGTGATGGTCTTATTTTTGCCTACTTCATTTATCTCCAGAGGTTTTACACCTTTGAGCATCTGTTTCATCATTGAGACGTCTCAGCTACTATTACGTAAAATATGATAATTTTGCCCCTATTTGGGCTCCATTATTTCTAAAATAATGGTATCGAATTGAGTGCTTCCAGTCAAAGTGATCTTGAATTGACTTTTGTGGTGCCAGCTTTTAAAACTCATTTTCAACTACATATTCTTTTATAAAATAATATTACACATAAACTCAATACTTTTTTTTTTTTATCTTTTAACCCCACATTCTTCAGAAAATCATTATTTCAAAATACATTTTCTTCCAAAATCACATTAAAATGGAGCCCAAACAGGGCATTATCTTATCCAAAAATCTAGTTCACTAGGGCTTCTATATTGAAGTAAAAACTAACATTTTCAGCAAGACAATACTTATATCTACAGTATCAGAACCTATTTCTCAAAAAATATCTCTTACTTCCTGTGGGCATTCATAAGATTCTTATAGATTCATTTTTTTGGTGGTCAGATTCTTAAGATTCTTTACATATAGTTATGGATTTCTTGCAGTAGGCTTACCCTTCTAGATTCCATTCATACATCATGATCATTCTAGTGCTAAGCTTCATCAAGGTGAATTTCCTTGAACACATTGAAAATTGGTCAAGTACTCAAGATTCGAGCTTTAAAAGCACATCAATTTGCACATACTGATATTTAAAAACATCTCTATCAACTACCTTAAGCTCGAGGGAAAGAGGACGCCAGGACGGGTGTTGAAAAAATAATCAAACTAGATTCTTGTTAGGATCGAGTTTCTTGAAAGTCACACATCCAATCAGAGGTTAGTCCTCCACTTGCCTGTAAATTTGCTCATTTTCAGTTAATAATAAGCTTCTTGTTGTGAATGTAACCTAGACGCAACTCCTGCTCCTTTTCTCCCTATCCCGACCTTAAAACAAGTAACATGATCCAACAGCACAGCACCATTATCACTACTACAACATGAACTCACCATCTTTCCTAAGGAATCCATTCTTTCGGTACTCTGACACTTTGTTTAGCCCACCATATATGTGCCTGATACAACGTAACACAATATGAAATAAGCGTCCAGTTCTTTTGCAGCTGGCGTGACTTCCTAACTAGTACAAGCCCCTAATAATACCACATTTCTAATTGACAAAGTGATTGGGCATTTCTTCTTTTTTATTTATCAGTAGACATATATGTTATCCTTGGAAATGTGTTACACCTAGTATTTTGTAATGTCCCTGTCAAAATGTTCAGACTTCAATAGAACTGTAATGTCTAATTCTATATCTGGGTCCTGTGGCCAGTATATCGATCTCCAAAAGTTATGGCCGGACATCATACTAAAGGCAAAGTTCAGTAGAACCGAATAATAATAAGCCAGATAAAAGCAACTAAGCAAAGTACAATCACATGGTGTATGAAAAAAGAACTAACCGAGGCCTCAATCTTGCAATCTCAAATTCAATCTCCTGAGCTTCAGTATCAAGAAAATACTCCGCCAGCCCGACCACAGTATCCGATATCACCCAACACTAATGCCATCGTCGAAATGTCATACAATCATGTTTGGCTAAGCTTAAAAACAAGTAAAAGTTAATTTAAAAGTGATTTGTTATTTCCAAATTGCTTGGATAACTTACATTGAATCAAAATTTAAGCTATCAAGACTTCTGAATTCAGGGGCACTCTTTCTCTTCA